AGTCGGTCCGAGGGGGGGTGTCAGGATTCCATCCCGTTTAGGTTTAGCGTCCCGACTTAGTCAGCCTATATATAGTTGGCCCCTGAGCCATCCTAATTGGACACTTGGCGCTTCCCGATTCTCTCACGTTGCCCGTCAAATGCCTTTTTCTTCTTTATTTGGTCATTTTGATACTATTGGCGCACAGTCGCAGCCCTACGAGTCACTTCGTCCGATCAAGCGGAGCATGTGAAAGTGCCGATCTCGCCATATACAGCGTCAGCAGAAAATAGGGCGAACTGACTCTTACAAGAGATCGACTGACGCTGTCAATAGTCTGGCAGTACATCTTATGCCTTAGTATGCACCAGAATTCTTCAAACATGGACAATTTCTGCTTTCCGCTGGACCTGTCGAAATTGGAGAATGACCGTCTCCGGCTAGTTCCATTTGATGTAATGCCTCGCTCCCTTTCAACCTGCTATGACCACTAACCTTCGGATTTGTGTAGTCCAATTTCCAGGAACTGTCCGCGACATACGTGAAATTGTCATCCGAAACTCCCGAGATCTTCCAATATCTCCCTTATGGACCCTTCGAAGGCCCTGACGCATATGATCGCTGGTATAGCGATCGAGTCCGCTCCACCAAGGCAGTGATCATCTTCGCAATCATCCTCAAAGCCGGTGTGGTCAGAAAGCGAACGCCTGGCTCCGATGAGTTTGAGGAACTGAAAGTGGAAGATGGTACATTTGCCGGGACCACCGGTCTGATCAACGCGGATCCAGAAAACTCCGTTGTCGAGGTGGGACATGTAGGTATTCTTGCCTACCATGCCGTGTAAACCTACTCACCTCCATAGGTCGTGATCCTTCCACGGTTCCATCGAACGTTTGTCGGCAAAACAGCTCACACGCTGCTTCTCCACCATATGTTGGATCCCCCACCTCATGGACTCCATCTCCGACGCGTCCAGTGGCAGGCATTCAGCAGCAATCAGGCCTCGATTGCCGCTGCGCAGCGCCTCGGTTTCCAGCTTGAGGGCATCATCCGCTGGCAACGGGTGTTACCAGAGGGCAAGAAGGGACATTCGAGTGGTAACATTGACGAGCAAATGCCTGGGATGGACCCAACCGGCCAGAAAAAACTTGGACCTGGCCGTCACTCGGCGATGTTGAGTTTGTGTTGGGATGATTGGGAGAATGGAGCGAGGAAGAGACTTCACGCTCTGTCGCAGAAATATGCCTAGCTTACAAACACGAACCGAGATTTTTGTAGTGCTAGTCAACGTCTCTCAGATAGATATTCTTTGATCATGCAATGATTGGAGCTTGGAGTCTAGCAGGCTACATGCACCGCCTTATTTCCTTGTCTATGAGGCAAGCCTGCAATGGATACGGTCATTGGTCAGGTCGGCTTCAGATCGTATTCGGGGAATATTTCTGATTGCAAATTAGGCACAAAATTGGGGTAGAAACTGTCGGCATCAGGCCGAAAATATTGAGTCATGCCCCGCCAAGTTTGGATATGGGATAGACAATGGTGTCTGGAGTCGCTTACCAACAATGGTACTTCAAACGAAGTATTTACTGGTTAGATTGAGTAATTGGATTCTCCTTATTTAACCTGAATATTCAGAGCCATTAATAAGCCGATGTCCACAAAGGAACCATCCTTGATCGAGCCCGCCAAGAGCATCAAATGTATAGACCACGAAGCCATACAAACGTTCACATCCTAGAGCCGTGCGCTTAATAATGATCCTCGTATTTTAGCCTCGCAGCCTGAGTCACCGTCAACCGATCTCGGAAATCCCGCAGGAGAGTTTTCCGACCATTCACAGTTGACACTTGACACGCCCTTGGAGTCTCGGCATCGAGCCAGAAGCAACACCAGTGGACCAGATACGAGGAACTATGCCGGACTGAGGCACGATGACTCCAGTATGGCTGGTTTGCAGCATTTGCAAAGGATTCTGCCTATTCAAAGATTTGTGTCTAGACCTGAATTTGCGTCATATTTTGCGTTTGTCATGTTTGGGGAGTTTTGTCATCTGCCAAAATGACTGATATTGATACTTGCCTCGAGGGAGGAAGATGTATATAAAGGAGCCAAGGATGTCTGTTGAGAAGTATCTACATCAAGCATCAAACAAACATAATCATTTGTCTCAATTTAATTGTGATCTCACTGTCACCTACGTTGTGCTCTCGAAAGCGAAACCGACAATATCATAACAATACTCTCCATCCATACATCATAGTCACCACGAAGCAATCCCTCACCTCTGAGCTTTATCAGTCCAAAACAAGACACAAAAGCCTCGAGTACCTAAGAATCAGAGTCCCGTCAAAATGTCGCCCAAGTCCTTCAAGTCCACCACCCTCGACAACGCCTCAACCCACACAGCCTCCTCAACAGCCTCGACTCTCAAGGGCATGTTCACAAAGTCATTGAAGCTCAAGGCCGCCGAGAAGGCGCCTTCAGATCCGAAGTCCCCAAGCAAGAAGTCCCCAGTGAAGGACTACACCGCTGCAGCCGTTCACAACGAGGCTGTTGCTCAGTACCTGGCCCTTCGGTGATACATATCTTCGAAAAGAACATTGGTTATGCATATGAGTTACGGAAGTTCATGGCTTCAATTTGCGCAGGCGCTATTTGAAAAGAAAATAATGTCAGGAGATACTTGTGATATATTTTTGTGCTTCTAGAGGTACTACGAGGGGTCACGCTGTTCACGGAAACCTATTGGGTGTTGTTTCATGTATATACATCTTTGAGACTTGGCAGAATCTAACTAATAATGAGTCGATAATCCTGGTCCCTTGACGCATAGTGGAGACGCGAATCAATTTAAGCTTACCGGAGAAATGGAACTGGCATGGATATCCTCGCTTGCATCTGATCTTTTATATTGAACAAATGGGATGCACGAGCAGCACGAGAAACTCTCCAGTTAACAGTTCTTTAACTCTACTGGAGCAGTCTCTTTCTGGGTCGTCATCTACTATACTTGGTACGTCTATAGGGCTTCTACTACCTGAGCAGAATCGGAGGTCTGAGGCTACACATGAGCATACTCTATGCACCACTGACTCCAAGTTCCATCGCTTGATACAATGGATATCCGATAAGCTCCTCATGAATATTTGCCGATTAATAATAATGAATAGCCGGCAATGAGATTATGCGCGGCATTTGCCGTTGTTCTCCACAGTTCCCATGTTTCCGGATCATCGTCATTTCCCCTCACAATTGCCAAATTCTCATCAACAGGCTTATAAATCAACAATTGCTGTGTCTGTGCTCTCTTTATAAATCAAAGCATACACTCGCTTCGTGGTCATTCAACTTCGTCATCTGCGAAACACAGAACGCAATATGTCTGCTCCAAAGATCACCCTCTACACCAACCACAGATGCCCCTGGGCCCACAGAGCGCATATCGCCCTCAAGGAACTCGGCCTTGACTACGAAGAGGTCATTATTGATCTGAACAAACCACGGGAACCATGGTATCTTGAAATTAACCCTGTATGACACTCCTCCCCCTGACATGTCAGTCCACTCTAACCGCCACAGCGCGGCCTCGTCCCCTCCATCTCCTACAACGGCAACATCATCACCGAGTCCGCCATCGTCGCCCAGTTCCTCGCAGACGCCCATCCATCCCACCTCGTCCCCCCCTCCAACAGCCCCGAAGGCGCCCTGCAGCGCGCCCGCATCGCCTTCTTCGTCGATACATACTTCAGCAAGGTCCAGCCGCAGTTCATGGCTTCTCAGCGCGCCTCGAGCGCCGAGGACCGCGCCGCTGCGGGCGAGGCTCTCGTCGCGGCTATCGAGAAGGAGATCGAACCCATTCTGTCCTCGCAGAAGGGATCCGGTCCGTTCTTCGGTGGGAGTGAGAAGTTGACCCTGGCGGAGGTGTTGACTGGTTCGTTCCTGTTGCGGCTGCTCTCGTTCCATAAGCCTGAGCATGGACTGTTGAGGGAGGATTTGCCTGAGCTGCTGGAGAAGAGAACTCCCGCGTTTACGAGATGGGCCAAGGCGACGGTTCAGCAGGAGAGTGTCAACTTTATCTGGGATGAGAAGAGCGTCGTGGAGCAAACGAAGGTGAAGATTGCGTCGTTGGCTAAGAAGTGATGAGACCAGCTTGCGAGTATAATCAGTAGCTGAGTCACGGCCTATATTATGATATGATACATTTATTCTTCTACGTCTATATCATCAACAAATTCTATTTCCTCATCGAGGCACATATAAAGCCATGGTGGGACTTTCTGATAGTTAACCATAGGCCATCAGGCCCAAGACCAAGAGCTTCTAAGGTAATTAATCCAGATTAGTCCATGAAGAGTTGCTTGGAGAATTAAATGACATGTTCAAGACACAAAAAATAGTGAAAATCCTCTTTGGTGTTGTAGGGTGGGGATTAAAAAAATGACAACATCATGTGACTTGCACGACGGTTGATTGTTGTCTCCTTTTCTTTCGGTGATACAAGCCCCAAAGTCTGAGATTGTACGGCCCATATTGCTCAGCGGTGGATCATAATCAATCTTCAGCAGCATGTCCGCTCTGGAAGGTGTCTTTTACCTGTTTCCCAAGTTTCCAACTGAAATTCGTCTAGCGATCTGGCGCGAGTGCCTCCCTCGCCATATCATGGAGCTCGACGACCAACAAGACGATCTTATATGGGATGAGCCTCCATGCAGTATGAATTGGAAGATCACATGGACTAATGCGGCCCCTCCTGTAATTGCGCGTGTTTGCCGCGAGTCAAGGGCTGTTGCCTTTGAGAGCGGCCGCCCTCAGCTGCTCCCGGACGAGAATAACCCAGATACATACCGCTTCAGCAATTACATGGTTAAACAACCCTGGCTTGACACCGCGCGTGATGCAGTCCATCTGAATTGGGAGCCATCCGTGGATATCGAATGGCAAAGCTATGATTGGGGCGATCCGGTCCGCTGTCTCATGTGGTATGCAGCGCGGACCAGGTCCCGCCAGGCCTCCATCATGCTCGGCCTCTTGCAGGACTTTCAACACCGCGAGAATCCCGATCAACCCCATGAGCACTACAGGTGGACCCGGCGCGAGCTTGCAGACCTGATGCGCACAAAGACAACCAGCTGGATGGTTGTCATTTTACCACCGGTTGTCATACACGCCGACGTTGAGACTAGTGCGGGTTTGTTTGGCCTCCTGGCCGACGCGCGCGTGCAGCTTGTCGATGCGGACGACAAGGCAAGGATCAAAGAGTTCATGGCGCTGGGCGAGGCGCCTAATGCTACCATTGGGGCAAGGTTCGGGCAGGAGGACCTGGTCTCGGCCAAAGAGGCGTTGCGGGATGCAGTCAGGGCGGTTTTTGGGTCCGAGGACGAGGCTCCTGTAATGCGCCCGGCTGTCATGTTTCGGCTTTGCACAAGAATGTGCAGCAGTGCAAACTGAAGGAACTGCTTATTATGCGTGGGAGTGACTCGCAGGTCTGAGTGTGGGCAGGGAAAAAGATGGATGCAGTCTATCACTGCTGGACAGCATTACTGAACTAAAGCAAACTTCTCGTCTTTTCCTTGATCTAGAAACCAAAATCGATATACGCCAAATACTAGCACGAACTAGCCCCGTAAACACGGGCCTCCACCTGCTGCACCCCCTGGGCCGCATCCCAATGCATCCGGACCTGACCCAGCTTCGTCTTGTTGGTCCTCTTCTGCTGCCCCAGCCACTGCTGGAAGTCGGCCCAGTGCCCTGCAAATGCCGGGTCTTTGGCCTTTGTCTTGTCGACGTCGACATCGAGGTACGTCGACCCGTCCAGCGCCGTCGGGGTCTTAGTCTCCACCGTGGTCGAGGACCCCTTCACGTCCCTCAGGTAGTCATTGATCGTATCAATCAAGCCCTGGCCGTTATCCGCGAGACGGGCCTCATGCACGCCCGTCATGGCCGTGCGGGCCTCAAAGAGGCCATCGGAGAGGGCGTCATCACCCAGCTTCACACGGGCAGCCTGGATCCTATCCGTGATGAGCTCCAAGATATCGCTGAGGCGCGGGTTGGGATTGGTGAAGGTGCCCGCCTTGAAGATCTTCTGGGGGTCCTGGTTCGGGACAAAGTCGGCGCCGTTGGACTTGAGGGTGCCGAGCTCCTTGGCCATGACGACGGCGTCGGGCCAGAAGTACTTGCCGGCCGAGGTCTTTTGGCCCGCGTCCAGGTGTTTGCCGTCTCTTTGTAGGTAGTCGACGAATTCGTCGAAGTAGCAGGTCCCGTCGGGGACGGTGCCGAGACAATCGGGTGCGATCATGTCGGGCCTTTTGCCAAAGGCCTCGATGTCCATGCGGTAGGCGTACCACATGTACACGGTCTATTCAGGGAGAACAGTTAGCGAATTCCACACGCTTCGGAAAGAGTACGGAATGTCCTGGGCAAGGGGAATTGAAAACCTGGTACGGCCCTGCTATCTTGCTGGCAAGCACATGAGGGGCCAGGAAGGTGAGCAACAGAATAGAAATAAGAAGCATCATGCTCATGCCTATGGTGCTGATACCTATGGCCTCAATGTAAGATCAAACTAGGATATAAAATTGATTTGGACAAGACCAGGAGGTTATAGAAGATAAGGGAGTACCATAATACTTCAATACTCCGAATATCCTGTTCATCCAGCCAAGGGCTTTCCCGACAGAGCCGGAGATTACACCACGCTATACAAAGACAGAGATAATATTAACGCAAAGCCCGATTTGCAAGCGAGGAGAGAAAGACTAAGAGGCAGAGGCGAAATACAAGGAGCATCCAGACGCTTGGCGTTTCTAACTCAACAACATCTGCGCAACCTAATTGGGTGCAATTCGAACCCCTGAGAGGCTTAGAGGGATCAACGCTTAATTCAGCCCCATTTCCTGGCACTTGGCACCTCTAGGCACAGGGGAACCCACACCTGATGCAACATAACACTCAAACATGATACGGGTATGGCCGAGAAGGATTTGGCCCCCGAGATTTGGCCCCCGAGATCGGGATCCTACAGATCCAGGGGGAATTAGGAGGGACGAACTACCGGCACTTGTTATCCGGCATAAAACATACTACTATAGTTCCTATCTCGGTCTATCTACAGCCTCCGACTATGCCTAACAGAGGGAACGCTATTGTTGTATCCGGTATGTAGAATTTTACGGGTACACACTTATGAATCGCCACTATAAATCCCAACCACAGCCTCCTTCTGTGTTTCCAACAAACAGATCTTTTCTGCTTCTCTGGAGAGAATGAGCGACGTTTGTTCATACATTCAAGTCCAGGGTGGTGACGGGTGTTGGGCCCTTGCCCAACGCTGTGGCATCTCCCAGGACGACCTCACCATATACAACCCTGCCTCCAACTTTTGCGACACCCTCGTAGTGGATCAGTATGTCTGCTGCTCTGAGGGGTCCCTTCCGGACTTCTCGCCCAAGCCCGATGATGACGGAAACTGCTTCGTCTATGTAGTTCAGCAGGACGACACCTGCGCCGATATCGCCAAGGCGAACCAGATGGACGCGGACAAGATCCCCGACTACAACAGCCTCACCTGGGGCTGGACGGGGTGCAGTATGCTCCAGCTCGGTCAAAGCATCTGTCTGAGTGAAGGCATGCCACCATTCCCTTCACCCGTCGATGGGGTCGCTTGCGGCCCACAGGTCCGTCCATTGCCTCTCCACAACATAGCTCTCCCATGGCTAACTGGTTGTTCTGGTAGAAACCTGGAACAGAGAAGCCAAACAACGGTTCGACATGGGACTGGGCGGAATTAAACCCGTGTCCCCTGAACGCGTGCTGTGATGTTTGGGGCCAATGCGGCATCACTCCTGAATTCTGCACCAACACCACCGCCGACGGCGGGTGAGTATTATACCACCTACAAGGGTCCTGTCCCACTAATCCAAAATCACAGGGCACCAGGCACCGCAAAGAACAACACCAACGGCTGCATCTCCAACTGCGGCACCGAAATCAAGAGCACGAGCGTATGGCTCCCCAACCCCCGGCGCATCGGCTACTTCGAGGCATGGAACCTGGACCGCAAGTGTGCCAACATGGACATCTCCAAGATGACCGAGGACGGCTACTACACACACGTGCACTGGGCGTTTGGCAACATCACCGAAAGCTGGGAGGTAGACGTGAGCGGCCTCCAGGAGCAGTTCGATGGCCTGCTGAAGCTGCAGAACATCCAGCGCATTATGAGCTTTGGTGGCTGGGGGTTCTCGACCGATGCCTACACGCACAATATCTTCCGAACGGGCGTCCGCGACGGGAATCGCCAGACCCTCGCTGCCAATGTCGTCAAGTTCATTGTGGATAACGACCTCGACGGGGTAGACTTTGACTGGGAATATCCGGGGGTAGGTTGTTCTTCCATGTCGGCACCAGGTTGACTGACGTTGACGGCTCTCTTCTCTCTCCTAGGCCCAAGACATCCCGGGGATCGACCCAGATAACCTTGACTCGGGAGAGAACTATGCCGAGTTCCTGAAGCTCGTTCGCAACCAGCTGCCGGAGGAGAAGTCCATGTCAATGGCCCTTCCGGCGTCATACTGGTACCTGAAGGGCTTCGACCCGCTCACTCAGTTTGATAACTACATTGTGAGTAATCGCGAAAGCCGCGACAGAAGCGAACAGCGGAATGTCATGACGCTTACTCCCGCTACAGGACTACTATGTCTACATGACGTACGATCTCCACGGCCAGTGGGACTGGAACAACACGTTTGTCAAGTAAGAAGCCCGGATCCATGCCCTTCTCCGCAGCCTGGACTAACACCATGCCTTGCCAAAAGCCCCGGTTGTCCGACCGGCAACTGTCTCCGCAGCCATGTGAACAAGACCGAGACCGAGTACACACTCGCCATGATCACCAAGGCTGGGATCCCGTCTATCAAGATCGTGCCGGGGCTTGCCCTGTACGGCCGCAGTTTTGAGATGACCGACCCCGCGTGCAAGGGACCTGAATGCACTTTTACCGGGAAGGAATCCGGGGCCACCAAGGGAGCCTGCACAGATACGTACGTGTCCCACAGGCTCGGATGATAGGGCTACTGGTTTCTCACCTACTCACAGCGCCGGCTACCTCTCCAACGTCGAGATCCAAGACCTGATTGCCGCGGCCAACAGCGAAGACAACTACAATAACGTCACCATCTCGCAGTACGAGGACGAAGGCGACATTCTCGTACGTATTCCTGAGGAGATGTCGGACGACAAGAAACTAACTCGGAATGCTGCCACAGATCTACAACGGCAACCAGTGGGTATCCTGGCTGACCCCGGACAGCTACAACGCGCGTCGGCAGTGGTATGACGACCTGCACTTCGGTGGTAGCGTAGACTGGGCCGTCGACCTGAACCGGACCTACGGCAACAATGGCACGGGCGACCTCCAAGAAAGTGGTGACGACTGGCCCGAGTTCGAACCCTGCCCGAACATCCACTTCCCCTACCTCGAGGGGCTGCAGACGGCGCAGGCCGCCGGCGCGATTCCCGACCACTGCGTCGCGCAGATGACGCTGGACACGCTGCTGTGGATGTTGGACACGGCCTACGACAACTACACCGAGGTCAACAACGGCTACGACGAGATGTTTGAGTATTATGTCCAGTACATTGAAAAGGTCGTGCCGGCCGTACTCGAGAACGCCTTCATGTGGAATATGAGCATCACCGGCAGCAATCAGCTGGTGCCGGAGATTGGATATGGGATGCAGTGTACGTTGTCCTCCTAGCCATTACAGATGTTACCTGACTGATTTGTCTGTCTGTTAGACTTTGATTGCCGCTTCCCCGAACAAGACGACTTTGTCCCCTGCGCCGCCTCCTGGGACGACAACCTCGACCCCCTCCTCCGGTACATCGACGCCACGGACCTGACCCTCCGTGACAAAGATGGCTTCTCCAAAGCCCTCGTCACCGCCGGCCTCTTAGACGACTGGGTAGATTTCGGCGACTACTCGATCCACCGCACGAACTACAACACGCGCCCCGCAACCTCGTGGACACTAAGCTTCACCGGGTGGCCCATCAAGAACGAGTCCATGGTCGTGCAGAACCCCAAGGACATCGTGACGAAGGGCTTGCCGAACCTTCCCACTATGCGGTCGGAGATGGAGAGCACGATGCTGGAGATTATGGGCGGCAGCTGGACGGGCGGCGATCCCCGGGATGCGGCGCTGGCTTACGCCCCGGCTGTGTTTATGCTGGAGCAGGCGGTGGATAGCATGGCGCAGGCGAAGAAGCTAGGAGAGCAGGAAGAGGAGGAGGAGGAAGAAGAAGAACGAAAGCGGAAGGAGAATTTCATCTTGTTGATTATTAGCGTGGTGTTTATGGTAAGTTTACCCCTACCCTTAGCCCTAGTTTACCTTGAGGCTTCCAGTAGACTTATACTAACAAGATTCCCGCCCAGTTCGTCCCAATGGTCGGCGAGGGGGTCGCCGCTAGCCTCGGGTTTGCTAATCTGGCCCGCATTATCGCCATCGCTGGCGAACTGGGCAACGCCGTCCTGGCCACTTACGACACAGTCAAGGATCCGAGCGCGGCCATTGTCAACATGCTGGGCATGATGTTTGGGGCTGCGGGCTTTGTCAAGGCGTCGCGCGATGCAAAGGGTCTCGGCGACGTGGCCAAGTGGAGGAAGGGGATGAAAGCAGGGGAGATCGCATCCCTGGGCAAGATCTTCGAGGACGGAGACGGGAAGCTGCAGGACATACTAGGGAAGGTGTGTAAGCTGTAGGCAAGTAGTATGTAGAGGTATTAAGAGAGTCTGTGTCACAGGCTCGACTTGATCTTACCAGGTCGATTGGAGTCTAATTGCTCGCGATTGTAATGTTTGAGCCTGAGACAACTTAATGCTCTTGAAATATGAGCTGCAGCAACGATTTGTCTTCTCAGCTGCAGTATAGGTTCAGGCACTCTGACGGTATGACGGGTATGATACTCAATCCCGCAATGGAAATGAGCGATTGCACCTCCTGATATCCAAAAGCCGCAACAAGTATAGCACACGCAGACTGCACGAAGGGGGCATATCAGTCTTATCAAGCCGGGGCAGTGACATATCCAGACCGGCAGAAACGGTATTCGTCCCAATCAAGCACGGAGAAAATGCCGCTCTGCACAGTTCCGGCTGAATTCCCCAGAGACCCTCAAAGTAGACCCCACAGTATTTCTGCAGGAAAGAATTCAGCCGCCAATTATATGCTTCGCCCTCTCGGCCTCATATTGTTCAGAGGAGAATATGGGACTCTGAGGCCGGCTGCCCCGCGCCGTCCTATGTGCGGAGCGGAGAGATACGGGGTGAGTATATATAGCAGGAAACGAGTTGCAAACGGAAACAATGCGTCCTATCCACTTCAACGTTGAGTATTGTGGGCTGCCAAAATGCGAGCTCTTTTATTCTTTACTTGGCTCTTTGGTGCCTCGGCAACAATTCTTGAGAATGGCCAGGCTCGGTTGAACCCGTATCCGGGGCAAGCCGAAGTCATTTCGCTGGACAAGAATACATGGAAGACCTACAAGCCTGACGCAAAGGAGATTTCCTACAAGGGGAGATGGGACGACAAGCATATTTCTTGTGAGTTCAACAAAATGACACAGACGAGCAACCACTGACATGGAACAGGGTGGTCGTATGTACAGCAGTCGTTGCAATTGACTCCAACTCTAATTCATATCTTTAGAGCTCCTGGGTTTAAGCTTGCATTCACTGGTGAAAAGGTACGAAGAACTCGCATGGAATGAGATGAGATGATGAAAGTGACTGGATAGCTCGCCCTGTCCTTCGGTCAATACACCAGTCAAGGGGTCCTCGTGGCATACAGGTACGTCAGCATCCCAGAATCCAGATCGTAAGGCAAGGCTAATTTGTTCGAAGACTGGGTGGCCAGGACTGGCAATTCTCCAATGTCACTGCCAATGCCACATATCAATTTATTGGACCTACGACCACGGGGCTCAATCTCACTAATGCCGGCGACGCAAAGACCTTTGAGCTGAGAGGTAAGCCTCGTACACGAAGGCACATATGACGATCTCGCTAATGTTCGTAGTTACAAACTGGGCCTATGGATGCGTTTCCCCGGATCTGTATACAAAGAGAAATTGACTGACAACAAGCACAATCCAGTTGGCCGGTGTATCCGTCGCAGCAGACGCAAAGATCTCGAAGATCCCTGAGTACTCAAGGATGGTTGAAATAATTGGAGACTCGTAGGCCACATGGTCCCACAAAGTCGCACATACTGATTATTGCAGGCTGAGCTCCGGTGACTACGCGACATACGAAGGACTGTCCTCATGGGCCTATGATTTCGCAGCAGGACTCGGAAACGTAGAATACTCCATCACAGTACGTTCTATTCCCCAACTGCTCCCTACCATACTAACAGCTCAGGCCTATCCCGGTATCTGCCTCCACGACCAGAATTGCTGGGGTAATCCCCGCGGTCAGGTAAGCCAGTGCCTCCATTGCCGTCTTCCAGACTGACCATCCAGTCCTACCAATGGTACTGCACCTCCGACACATCCTGGCGCGCACACGAGATCTACGGCGATAATCCACCCAGGTGGAACTTTGCGGCTCAACATCCAGCCGATCTGGTGGTCATCAACATCGGCACAAACGACAATAACCAGGTGAACAATGTCTCAAGCACAGACTACTACAACGACTATGTCACTCTCGTGGGCAACATCCACAAGATCTGGCCAAAGGCGGAGATTGTTCTTATGGTGAGGTCCTCCCAACAAAGTAGGTACCCTGCTAATCGTGGCAGTCCCTGTGGGGTGGTTTCGGAGCCTCCGGAGATACATACGTCCAGGGCCCTATCTGGGTGAACGAGATCAAGCGGGTTTACCAGCATTACGAGAAGCAGGGGTTCATTCATTATTTCGACACGACGGGCATCCTGCAGCACAACGATATCGCGCCGCAGTGGCATCCCACGGATGTTGGACATCTGAAGATTGCCGCGCATCTGATGCAGTGGGTGAAGTTGAAGTTTGGGTGGGAGTTCGGGGCTACCGGGCCTGAGGTGCATCATGGGACCTTGTACTGGAATGATCAGGCGAATTACTAGTAGTTTTTGGCCAGTATATCTTGCAGAGGAATGGTAGAGCTATTCTTATTACGAGAAATTCCTCATCACGTTGACTCGTCCTTCGAGGTTTCCTCTGCACTTTGGTCAAGGTCGAGATTATTTCATCCCTGCAGAAGCTATCCAACCCAGCTAGGTCATAGATAGTAATCGCGAGCTGTTTTCGTGACCTCAATCAGCCCCCCCTCTTCTCCAATTGACCTCGTGGGATCTCCTGCTCAATGAACATCTTCACCTCCTTAGCTAGGCGTTACTGCGCAGCAAATCGAGCGCTTGCAAGGTCTGAATCGTCAAACTTTTTTTATCAATGAGCTGAAGAAGGTCGTCTTGCTCGTCCTCGAGCTGCTTGATCTTGCGCCTGTGGGCCGTCTTTCTCCGCGGATTGTTGACCAGATTGAACATGCATTCTGTCCCTTGTATTGCACAGCTCTCCTATGTTGGCTGTCTTTTGAGTGGTTTGCACTAAGGGTCCCTTCAATCGAACGCCCATTTTTCGATGTTGGGAAAGTCGTCGACTGATGTGTTATGTGCTTCTTGCAGGCGCCCCAGATGGAGGAGGCCGGGTGCACGAGGGTAACTCTCTGGCATTCACCGGACAGCCGACGGTTGCTTTGACCTGCTGCAACCTAGGGCATGGTACTTTATCTGACAGCGTGGGTCGAGCCTGTAGGCAGGGTTGTGGGTTGGTGAGATGGCGGTAGTCGCAGAATAACATTCCCTTCGTGAACAGGCCTCTTTGGTGACGCAACAGACATTTATCTTGATGATAATGCTGTAGACAGTATGAGAGGGTGACAACCTATAGTCTAGACTTGAAGTCAACTATCGTACGAGCATCGATGAACCAGCTACCTTAGTATTCCGATAGAAGGGTAAAACATCCGGCCAATGGGGAGACTTTCGAGCACGCAACTAATGCAGATGCTGCATTAGTTTGTGATATATCAGCACTTCGAGTCCGCCAATAAAGAAAGATGGAGGCTAAATCACGTTGTGGGCTTCATGAATATGGGTGAAGTTGTGAGGTTTGAGCCTGAGAGGATCTCCATTTCCTCAGCATGAGGTACTCTCTTTTCATGGGATCCTAATCAGAAGGTATCTTTAGGCAAGGTCTAATTGGAGCCTCTAGTTCAATTCGTGAGCCGTGAAATGAGGTATCAGTCATCATATTTGCAGATATGCTACTTCTCTATACCAAAGATCCAAACCAACCTATTCCACAAACCTAGTCCAAGATACGCTGTCGATTGTCTTACTGAAGAGAAATTTCCGTTTCCAAGAGAATATTGCGAACATGATGTAGAAAAGCCAGAATAAGAGATAAGTAGAACGACTACTCTTGGAGAAACTTCAACTGCAATACCTCTTGGACAGCCTCATGGATGGTATCTTTCTCCCGTAGAAACTCCAAAAGCCTATTGATACTTTCATTGTCTCCATGAGCAATCGTGCCGATCAATGCATTGAGTGCGTATCTGTATCGTTCCTTTGCTCGATGAATCGCATCCTCTGAGTCTGGCTCCCCGTTTGGCAGATTCGTCATAGTGCTTGACTCCTGTGGAGTTGAATGTCACTGGCTGTATTCACGAAGCCGAGTAAAACACAGTACCTTTAAAGAGTTGTTATTCTCTTGCATCATGAGATACCCTCTCAAGAACAATGCTCGTAGGGCGACTGCCTGTCGCTCGGGAGAGCTGTCGAGGACAATTGAACCTTGAAGCAGATCTGGGGCCCACTATATTGTGGCTCCAAACGAAGAGATTGGCATAGACATAAAGTGCTGTAGATAAAGGGTTCGAAGAGGGTGGTCCGGTGGCATTCGACCATTTGAAGCGATGAGCCCGAAGAAAGAGGCCGTGGGTAACGGATAGGCCCAGATATCGGGCAGCAGGTCAAAGCCACCTGCTACATAGATAAAAGATCCGAGCCTATCAAGCATGGCTGTACGCAGGGCCTATACAACTCTTCAGGCACTCGAGGCAGAGCCCATGTATCTGTAGCGAGCAACTTGTATTGGTTTTCTTGCAGCCCGATCATTGGGTCCATGAAGCTCAGGCCCAAAATAGCCATTCCAGCGCGAAAATCATGGGGCTATCTGCAATCAGTGTAGAAACAGCTCCAGATTTAAAATGCACTGACCGAAAGATCAGGCGCCCAGAGCGAACCTGCTCAAAACTTCTGGATCTGTGGTCCAACATATGGGGATCGTGTGTTGAGAGGCGGCATGAAGACCATTGTCCCATAGTGTTGGCTCCTATCGTAGGTCATGAAGTAAGAAGTCCAGGGTTATGGCTCTACGCTGTCGAAAAGTCCATCACGATGGTCCTTGAGAATGATTGCCATTGGCTGGCGCGGCATTCCGTGAATCATTCATGCAGCTCAAGATGATGGACTCTTTGAGGGAATGGAACAAAAGAACCCTGCTCTTAGCTCTGAAAGAAGTAGCTCTCTGCTCATTATTGTTGAATGGAGAGGCAACCAGATGAAGTGCGACACTGTTGCCCATTCATTTACATGTCCGCCCGAAGGAGATTATAACGACAACGCTGCTCGATCTGAGTTAAGTATTTTGGAAGTCAAATTGAGTATTAAGTTGGGCATCGCCTTCATCCAGACAATAAGTGTTCGTTACTCCTGCTCCTGACGTTCGGCATATGAAGTGAGCTTGTATGGCTTCTACCCTTAAGAGCCTTTCTGGGCTCTAACAAACAGATATTCAACACCTTAACCAAGCATCGATCTTGCAGTTGATAGACGAAAGGCCTTGCACTATCAGAGAATTCTACCTGCAGGCTGTGTAACTGAATATACCTTCCCCCGTCCGGATATGCCCAATCAACCGTCCGCTAGGTTTGATCCGACTCGCTGACCAACAATGACCACAACAACCGCTATCTATAACAGTCAGATTGAAGCGAAACAGGCAAAATTGAAGGTTGACTAACCAAGGATAGATCCACCCCCTCCGCAACTCGAACTGTCCACTTGGGTCTGAAGCGGAACGGAGGCCGTTGTCCCTCGGCGAGTACACTCCGATCCGTTATACGATTGATGTACGCCACATTGCGATTCTGAACCACCACCACCTGGAGGATATTATCAAGGTCCTGCGCATGCACCTCCAACACGACCTCTTCGCTTTGAGCAGACGGCCCACTTGACCTCGGTTGCTGCGCAGCGTTCCGGAACGTCACAACCGCCCTGGGCGAGTTCATCGCAACCCGCAACTTTGCTTCGAGAATACACTGCGTCCCACCGGGAAGCCGGAGGCACAGCGACGAGGAGTCGTACCATTGACAGCGGAGCTTGAAGAGGGGGAGTCCTGAGCGGTCGTGGAACATGCGTGCCTGGCTCATCTTCCAGGGTTGGCCGCGGACAGTGAATAGTTCGATTCCGTCGTGTTCGATGGAGTAATCGAGGGGGTGCCATGGCTCCGGGCGGTTGGTGACAGTCACTATCACCGGGAGTCGTGTGATGCTTTCAGGGCGGATGGCTATAGGGTACGGTGGTGGTTGGACTTCGGGGAGGGTACGGGACATGCTGGACTCCCGGTGAGGACATGTCAATCGAGAGCGGTCGGGACATGGCCATTCTTCTCGGGACAGTATGCATCATAAAGCGTAATGTTTGCTAGAAGTGCCCGTGGAGTAAGGCAGAGTCGAAGGACGCCTTATACCTCGCTAGCGGCCAGGGAGATTGCAACTGTTGGTTAGTCAGGGCCATTAATTGGTCAATCCGGCCGTTGTTGCGGGGGATTGCTGACGATTAAAGCCAAGCACAGATCGCAGCTGTCAGGATGACATTCAGGAGGTGGCTTGGAGCTATGGAGGTCTAGTTTTTACGGGAAATGCCGATTGTGCTAAGGATTGTGTTTCAGCCATAGCATTAGTTTTGAGCTTGAGGTAACTCCAGTATGTAACCCTGAGCTAGTATTTATGCCCGCTTTCACATGCACAATATCGTTTGATCAAGCCTAGACATACTCTTCGTGCAAGGCGTAGTCGATATTGCCGTACTATGTCCATATACAGGATTACCAGTATGTAGCCCAATCACTCTCCTTTCTGACAACCTTGACAAACTCCTCGGCAATAATCTGGTCCGTACGCTGCGAAGGATGCAACTCATCAAACCACATGAAGGAATCCGGACTGGGAAGCCGGGTGCACTCGCCTCCACTAAGATTGCAGTGGTTATTGAACCCGGTCACATTGGCCGGTGCACTCCCATTGAAATACTTTGCGGGTTTGTAATAAACCTCGGAGAGCTGCCAAAATTAGCGTCATTCTTCTTTCTGGGTCCAAGACGCAACATACCAATCCATACATGTCCATCACCGCAAACCGCGCTGTAGGATACCGCCTGGCCACCAGCACCTCATACGGCGTCTGGTACTTGAACACATCATTCACAGTCGCAACCTGCTCCCACATCCGGTAACTGATCAAGGTCAGGTTATCCGGCTTGTCGGTCCAGTAATGGTTGGCCCCCACGCCGCCGTTCTCCGGCGTCGCGTACAAGGGTGCCAGCTGCAGGGGCGCCAGGTTCATGAGCACAAAGTACCTGCCACCATTAGCATAGACCTGGTCGAGCACGGAGTACACGCATTTGATGTAATCCGGGATCGTCTTATTCTTGACCTGGGAGTCGGTGACGAAGGCGTAGTTGCCCAAGTCGTTGGTGCCGATCCAGATCGAGTACACCGTTTCCTGGGGTGGGATGTTGAGGAACTTCTTTCCGGACACTTTATACTTGCTGTCAGCCAGGAAGGCTGGCACTTCGTATTCGCGGACGGAAGGGAAAGGGGCGTTGATGTAGGCGAATGTGCGCGGGGTGATCTCGTTGGAGCACACGGCGCCGCTGACGGCGTAGTTGTACAGGTTTACATCGGCGTATTGCGAGACATAGTGGCCCCAGACATAGCCACCTGATGCGGTGTTGTTGTTCTATGCTTCTCAGCGGGCTTGATCTACTGGGAAACAGGAACTTACGTCTGGCTGCTCCCAGCCCACGGGTGGAGCTGACCCGTTATGAGAGCCAAAGTAGTTCAGTCGCGATTGGTCGGTATAGCTATCGCCAAAGGAAACAAGACTGGTGAACCTCCTTGGTCCCCATGATCGAGGATGAGCAGAAGCTGCGTCGATTGCAAGAATAAGCCCTAGAAGCAATTGCGATTGATGCATGATAAATCTCAGCGGGGCTTTTGCTTGGATGCATCACAGTCTGCAGGGGACATCGGCTGCTTTTAAGCACCTGCCTGAAAGAAACCGGGATTTGACCCCTCTGTCGGACAGCTCTAAGTCAGTCAAGACCAAGAATGATTGAAGAAAAGATGCCTGGACGAATGATCATCCGGGGTCTTTGCGGAGATGCGGGGATTGTGGACCGGCCTGGATAAATACATGGATAAATTAGGCGTGTATAAACACAAGCAGTAGGTTTATCCGTGTTTATTTACATCATAATCTCATTAATTACGCCGTAGGTTAATGATTGCCATCGTATTCAGCAACCCTCAATCCGTGTACTCCCCCTTGGATCCATTCCAGAGGCGCCACGAAAGCCATCTGGCTCCATGAAAACAACTGATTCTTCCCCCCAAACACAAAGACTTGGAATCTCCCAACAAATTTCCCGTCCACCCAGACTCTGCTCCCTCCGATAACATCTGTGCGAATGGTGATCTGACTCTGGAGAGGAATTTTAATGGGTTCATGCGTGGACGACGTCTCGTTTGTCCAGATTCGCCCAGGATACCCCGGGTCGAATCCAGCGTCCTCGGCTACAGAGCGAAGGGGGTACTCCCATCCGTCCGATGTAAAGGTTAAAGTACCTGATGAGGATAAACTCAGAGTGCAGTCCTCGGAGGCCAGCACGAATGGTCCCGCGACGTCAAGCTCCAGTGTATAATTCATTCCTTTGCTGCCGTTCCCGAGGTGAACTCTTTCCTCCAGTTGGTTCTTGGCCGTCCAGCTCAAAAGCGAATCCGTCCTATGATGGGTACGAGCAATAAACGTCCTGTCGAGATTCTGGCCAACTGCACGGGCAGTAAGCAGATTCACAGATAAAGACAAGCTGGACACATCGAGTCGAGGACCTCGATCGCCGGTCCATGCTCGAGATGCCACAATCGGGATCCCGTTGCGCATGGCGTAGAAGGCCTCAAGCTGTGTCGTCGCGTCGGGTCCGTTGTCATTCCATGCGGCTAGAATTGCTCCCTGGACTGCCTGTTTGTCGGGTTGCTCAGTGACGTTGAATGGGTTGAAGAGCGCCGGGGTCCATTGCCGTCCGTCGATGTCAGCGAAATTCAGCACACGGGAGTTGTTGAACAGGTATGGATACGGGGCCGGAAATATGGGCATGTGGTCATTTTTCAAAGACATGTATGCCCAACGATCCTCCGAATTGATGATCGTGTATCCATCATTCGCCAGACTGACAGGATCTGATTGCCCGTATTGCCAGTGTTGAATGATCACATCTTTCAAGATAGAAAGCGTATCCGATGGCTCATAGGTACCCCATATGCGAATTCTCTTTCCTGACTCGTTCCGGATGAATTGTGCCATCTCATCGACAAAATTGATATAATCATCCGCCAGTGTCGAGTCGTACTCGTCCGCCCCGATATGCACTTCTTTTGTGTGAAACCACGGCAGGAATTCAGCCCACACGGACTTGACCAGCGACACCGCGTCAGGATGAGAAAGATTCAGCAGATCCTTCTTCTCCAGCGCCAACTCTGGTTTCCATTTGGTCAGAAACAGACAATGACCGGGCGCTTCAATTTCAGGAATCACTGTCACTCCCCGTTGAGCACAGTGATGTTCCAGATCTTCGTAGTCCGCTCGGGATAGCGTCTCGTTCGGCCTTTGCACGATTCCATGGAGATCAGGGTCCTCAGGGTGCAGCGAAAACTGAGCGTACACCTCGCTCCATGTCTCGTTATGCCCCCGATTCAGAGGGTAGTTGTCGCTGGTGTGATAGTGGAACTCGGACATCTTGAAAAACGAGGCGTACGTGCACAGATCCTTGAGAAAGGCAGGCGAGTACCACTTACGGCCTGCATCGAGCATGTATCCTCGCGTTGGAACCGAGGGTGCGTCCACCAACCGACCCCCAGGAAGCGGTTTCCCATCAGAGATGATCAATTGTTGTAGTAGTGTTCGCGTTCCCCACCACATCCCCCTCGCCCCAGATCCCCGGATGAAGACACATTGCGGGTGAATCTCCACTTCATATCCCTCTTCAGTTGGTGTGCCATTTTCGTAGGTCAAGTTGCAGTCTGTGCCAAGTCTGTCAAGGAAGATACCCTGCTTTGCGCTGAATTCCTCGACCTGATGGAGATTCCACTGGCTGGCGGTCACTTCGTCCAGATCATGCAGAAATGTCGTTGCGAATTCTAGGGCCGATGGAGGAATAAGCGTCAATCCATTTTCGTCACGATGAGAGGCAAAATCGGCCTTGATATAGATGTTCCTCTCCACTGAGCGAATATCAAAACCCGGTAATGGCCCTGAGCCGGTTTGATACACCGGGGGAAGTGTCTGCAGTGCAGCTGTCACCAAACTGAAACCTAGGATGATATTTAGATACATCTTTGACAGTACCTGAGCAAATGGCTGCCTACTGTACTCAATAAATACAATCAAGGGTTGCATTGTTGTGGTTGTCGAGGTTACATCGGCTACCTGCATTTCTTGGTATCAACAAGTCCATTGCTACCCTATCGTTTGATCAATATCACTCTGAAGAACAGTAGTAGTACCATCCTAGTGTTGACTTTCATTGTTTACATTGATCCCCCGCACGGCAATCAGGATAGCCCCAGATTTGACCATATTCATCCTGACAATGATACCTACTGTTGCAAAAGAGCCAGCACTATTCATTTATGCTTTAGCATCCTAGAAGCCACTTTTCTATTATTGTATTCTTCACAGTGACATGGCCGTTAGGATATTGTGACACTATCCCGTTTCTTTCTGCTGGTTACCGACGCGACAGTTCTCCCACACGCATTCGAGCCACTCCCTCTCGGCTCAATCAAGCCGCGCGGATGGCTGTTGGACCAACTACATCTCATGGTCGACGGACTTCCAGGCCACGAGCACGATTTCTATCCGATCATCACAGAGAGCCGCTGGCTCGGTGGTCATACAGACTACAACGACTTGAATGAGGGACTTCCGTACTGGTTCAATGGGCTGGTTCCTTTAGCATACCTGACCGACGACCAGCGTCTTAAAGAGCAGGTCGGGAATGTCGCCGACCATGTCTTATCGCATCAGCAGGATGACGGATGGCTGGGCCCTGAATCAAGCCTGTCAGCGCGGAACTTCTGGGGAAGATCGCCGATGCTGTTGGGACTGAGCCAGTTGGCTGAAGCGGAGGCGGGTACGGAGATCGAGACGAGGATTCTGGACGCGATGCACATGTTTGTCAATCTGATGCACTCGATGCTATCTGATAATTACCGGGGTCTAGTGCAGCAGACCGATGATGATGTTGATGATCGATGGGGGTGTACTCGCGCGGCGGATATGGTGGCTGTATGAGCGAGACCCGAGGGATCAAGAGCACAAGCTCTTGGATTGCATGCGCATGTTTCACGAAAAGGCTCTCGACTGGGAACACTGGTACACAGATGGGAGTCTACCTCAAGGACGATCTTGACACGGTCTCCTTGGACATCACCGACGCAAACGATCCGTTCGAGCATGGGGTCAACGTCGCCATGGGCTTGAAGAGCGGAGCGGTCTTTAGACGCCTGACGTATGACGAGGGATCAGCTGCCAGCGCGCTGAGAGCCGTCGATTGGACATCTACGTACCATGGAACTGTCTCTGGGTCGATCATCGGCGACGAGCGGATCTCCGGGTTGAGTCCCGCACGTGGCGTGGAGCTTTGTACCGTGGTTGAGACGATGTCTTCGCTGAGCTACCTGTACCAGGCTCTGGGAGACAATTCGCTGGCTGATCAGTGTGAGCTCGCCGCCTTCAATGCGCTGCCTGTCATGACTCTTCCAGACTGGTCGGCACATCAGTACGTCGCGCAGACTAATCAGCCCATCTCGCATAGACTGGACGGCTCTCCTTTTCAGAACGTAAACGAGATGGGTCAGACTTTTGGCCTGGAACCGAACTACCCTTGTTGCACTGTGAATCATCCGCAGGGATATCCCAAGTTTGTCTCTGCGGCGTTTGTAAGGCAGGGCCAGAATGGTGTCGCGCACGCTCTTCTTGGGCCAATGAGTGTCCAGACCTCAACAAAGTCAGGGACGCAGGTGAGAATTGTCTGTAATACTGAGTACCCGTTACCCAGCGGCTAGTTTATACCGTCGACGCAGACGGGCCATTTGACTTCTCCGTACGGATTCCAGGATGGTCCCCCTCCACAGCTATCTCAGTGAACGGATCACCTCTTCGCGCGGCACCTGATACCCGGACCGGCATGGCAAAAGTTCCCTTAGATCAAGGCTCATCAGAGGTGATTGTTACGTTCTCTGCAGAAATCCAAGTGCATTGCCGCGCAAACGATACCGTGGCTATCTACTACGGCAACCTGCTCTACGCCATTCCGGTGCAATACACACAAACCTCCCATCCAGACCAGAGTTACCCGAATCTTCCGGACAACATACGAGACTATGAGCTGCTTCCGACCGGTTTCTCGGCGTATGCGATCGACCCCTCTTCCCTTCGATATAATGGCTTCGACGGAGGTCTGTCCAATCCTCTCTGGACTCTAGGAGCACCCACATCGATCACTGCAACAGTCTGCGAGATCCAATGGGAGCTGAAAGATGGATATGCACCCAACCCACCCCGCAAAGGTAACCGGTCTTGCCTAGGCGAGCCCTTCGAAATCGACCTTGTTCCATATGGAAGTGCAAAGTTGCACATGGCGAAACTGCCTGTGATAGAATGAGGGGGATCTCGGGGAAGATACTCCGAGAATATAATGTGACGCAACTTGCATCATATCCAGTTCCTTCAAATGCTCATAACCCCGATAATTCCCCCGAACCCGGTGCAATCATCTGCGTCCTCTGGTTTGGTCTGTTTCATTGATGCGGGGTATATGGCGACGATCCTCCGCCGGAGCTTGTCTGTTAGCGGGGATGGTTGCAGAATCGGGGATGTCGGATAATAATTGTATTTCTCAGTTGTGCGGAAACAGCTTGGTGAAATTGTATGTCTACTAGGAATTATCCGATTGCTGCATATTCTGTTAACAAGTCTGGGCACCGTCAGTTTGACGTCCGTAGTGTTGATATGGAAACGACACCGGGGATCGATTCCACAACCGTAGGACATGACGAATATAAAGAGCTAGAGGTATAACCACACTAATCAAATGCCAAAGTCTCGTATCAAACAAAATGAAGAGCCTTACGACGATCAGCGCGGGCATCCTTGCCCTCCTCACCTCGACCCTGGCCCTCCCACAACCTCTCCCTCTCAATCACCACAAAGCCGACTCAAGCAAAGTAGGCTACCTCGGCGTCTACTGGAAGACATCTGACGAGAGCGTCTACTACGCCTTGAGTAACAACAGTGATCCACTAGGCTTCACCCCGATCAACGGTGGGAACCCCATCGTCTCCCCGACCCTGGGCACAAAGGCCATCCGGGATGTCTCGATCATCAAGGGTGTAGGTCATGACAAGGGAAAGTACTATCTGATCGGAACAGATCTTAAGATTGCCGATGTTTGTCCCTCTGCCCGAAAACATGAAGAGATACTGACCGTGGTAGACTACCTGGGCCAAAGCGGTTCGTACGGGATCGCGGGGAATCTTCGTATGGGAGAGCTCGGATCTGCTCAATTGGGCCGGTGAGCGTCTTGTGACGGTCGAGGAGGAGACAGCCGGGATGGTCTGGGCGCCGGATGCAATCTGGGATGCGAGAAAGGGTATGTCGCAGTCTACCTCTCCATGGACTGAGCATTGACCAACAACCTACAGGAAAATACCTGGTGCATTGGGCGTCCCAATTCGTAGGTCCCCTTGCAGTATAGATTGATCAAGCATACTGACAACATCCAGTACGCAGCAAACGATACCGAACACACAGGCAATCCCACCACCACCGAAATCATCCGCTACGCTCATACAAGTGACTTCAAGACCTTCACCAAGCCGCAGACGTACATCGATCACAAGACCAGCACGACAATTGACCTCAGCATTCTCCCTGTCGATGAAAACACCTTCGTCCGCTTCTACGTCAACGGCAACGTTTCCGGCCCGGTGGTCGAAGTAAGCGACAACGGTCTGTTCGGTGATTGGACCTCCCCCTCGGGCACCGTTGAGGACAGCACTCGCTACGAGGGCCCATATCCCTTCTGGGACAATGTGCAAGATGGCAAGGCGTATTTGGTGTGCGACAAGGTGGGAAGTGTCACCGGTTGGGCGCCGTGGGAGTCGACGGATGTAACATCGGGACAGTTCACGCCTGTCTCAGGCTATAACCTGGCATCTATGAGGCATGGTTCAGTGCTGTCCGTGACTCAGGAGCAGTACGACGCTCTGGCTGCTCTTTAGGATTATCTGCAGCCAGGCCGAAAAGTGAAGAACGGCTTCAGAGTGAGTAATGCTGGAGATCAAAAAGCGATCAGATCTATCAAACTGTCTGATGTACCTGCTGCGGTGATATTATTCAAGCTCCAATTGCTCAATGAAGAATGAGACGAAACACATATAGTCACCTGGAGAGGATATATTTAGGTAATATATTGTTTTTGTGAGATCACTGTAGTCCTATGTGAGGTAGCACTGGCATCTAGGATTAACCAGGCAAAAGTGCCTAGGACCTCAGGACTTGTTATGCTTAATCCGTCTAGATGATAGGTTTATGCTAGAAGATCAGAATGCTGCTACTCATCTCCCGTGGAACATTCTAGGGGGTTTATGGGACGGAGACTACTTAGGGGGCTGCGGCATACACAAATATCCCATGATGGCATTGAGGGAGGGATGTTGCTCCATGTTGCAGTGAAGATAGGGTGGTGAGGGTTTAGAATTCTCTACAGAGGCGTTGGAGAAGGGGAATTGACTATACATATCTGCAGCACGGATGGCAGTGGCTCTCCCCCTAGTCTTGGATAGAATCCGTATCCAGACTTTGGGAACGGAAACAGACGGACAGGGGATCCTGGCGCCATCTGCGCAATTTTCCCACTGTTATCGATTTCCCATCAACAAAAGCCCGCTCCTCCAGTGTGTGTAGTTTATCAAGGCAGCCCACTCCACCCGCAACGCATTCTATACACACGGTGAATTTGGGATGTTCGAAAGATTCACAGATTGAACATATGAAGTAACGATCAATGGCTGGAATCCAACATAGACAAGTCTTACAACAGTACGGGACTTTTGTTGCCTGTTCCTCGATCATGGCGATCTCATTCTCACCTGAATCGCCTGATAAGACTTCAAGTATTCTAGTGTAGTTGAGATCGCGGGCTAGAGACAAGGGGCTCCGGCCAGCACAAGTCGTCGCCATTGGGTCTGCAAACCCTTTTTGAAGAAGCAGTTCAACGACAGCACAATGGCTGTTCAAGGTGGCGAAAAACAGAGGGCTGCAGCCAAGACGATCCACGATCTGTGATTGACCACCATACTGCATCAATAGCTGTACCATTGAACTCGATCCTGTTTCTGCTGCCAAGAGAATAGCCGTTCGACCGAATCTATCTTGAAAATTTGCACTCACTCCACCGTCCAAGAAGGCCTTGACGACGTCCGTATGATGCCGGGACACTGCCTCAAAGAGCGGGTGCTTTTGATAGCAAGTTTCCGGCTCTGGCCAAGTCGCTGGCAAAGCGCCGCTTTTCAGCAAAATCTTCACCACATCAGCAAGGCCTTTTTGGGCTGCTTTCAACAGTAAGGAAACACCATCTTTGTTGATATCCAGATCAGCCCCATGCAGCAATAGCATTTCAACTACGCTTCCATGTCCTCGGTCAAGCGCATGACGCAGAGGTGAATTGACGTTTGGGTCGGCGCCTCTTTCCAGCAAGAGTTGAACAATTCTGTCATGACCTCTCTGTGCGGCGATGAGTAACGGGGTAGTGTCACGATTCGCTTTGACTCCGCCCCCTAGAAATATCAAGTGGGATGTCGATCGAGTGTCTGGCTCTATTCCACTGTCGAGCAGACCTTGCACAATTCCAACATGTCCGTGATAGGCTGCTCTAAAAATAAGAGACTGTCCATGTTCATCGATAAGCCAATTCGTTCCGATTCTCTTCGTTAAGATGAAGGCGAGCTCTCGGTATCCAACCCTCATCGCCTCCTCTAGGCTGGTGTGACATTGATCATTGTCGGCACCGTGAGCCAGCAACATCTCGACAATCTTGTAATGGCGTCCACTGACGGCCAAGGATAATGCACTTGATTTGTAATATTTTGGTGTTGATTGCTTTCCATCGGAGTGCATTACGTTTGCCTCTTCAACGATGGTGATCCCTGGGCTGGCACCGTTCTGCAAAAGTAACTTCACAACTCTCTCAAGTCCCATGTTGGCCGCCGATAATAATGGTGGCATCTGTGAATAAGATCGATACATGCATGGAATAGGTGGAGTAGGTTCAGTGTATGCATTTGGATCGGCTCCTTTTTCCAGGAGAAGCTGAATAATTGCCTCGTCAACCCGGTAAAATGCCCATGAGAGTGCAGATCCTCCTATCCTATCTTGTTCATTGAGATCATGATGTCTCTCCAGAAAGGTCTTCACGATGGCCAGATGGCCATGAGCAATTGCCTGTATAAATGGAGACCGACCCTGGTCATCCCCACGCTCGCAGTTGATGTTTGCTTCAAGTAAAGCTTCAACCACAGCCAGGTGATCATTTGCTACCGCCCATGCCATCAATGCTGTACCTTCATCTGCTGAAATACTACCACCACATAAGCATATGCTTTGACGAGTAATGGCGATCTCACTGCAGATAATATCTGTGAGCTCCCTGTTACTAATCATTTCGCTCGGTTGAAGCTCCATGAGTGTGTCAAGCCCCATCTCTGCAGCCAACAGAAGTGGGCTGCGGCCGAATTTGTCGCGGACATTGAAAAGGGCTGGATCCTGGCCCAGTAGCAGCAAGCAAATCGCTTTGTGTCCGTTTCGAAGGGCACAGAATAGTGCTGTCTGACCCATGTCATCTTCACTCCTTATATTTGCAGCTTTATCAAGCAGAAGCTGGACCAATGCCTCTTCCCCTTGCTCGGCCGCCTTCAACAAAGGTGTTCGACCGTGTTTATCTTGGACTTCAAGATCGGCTCCTTTTTCAATCAACAGCTTAGTTATTTCGTGATCGCCATTGGCCATTGCGACTAACAGCGGAGTGTCGCCGTCTTGACTGTCTCTCAAGTTGATATCAACATTCTGCTCGACCAAAATTTCAACCAGCAAATGGAAACGATGTTTGACAGCCCAGAGAATTAAAGGATTCTGGAAGCCAGCAAGTTCATGCAGTAGACCATGTTTGAGCAGCACTTCGAAGATTATCTTGTCGCGCTTGTGGTGGCTGAAAGCTGATAATGTTTCTGAGCAAGGTTTGGCCCCGTGTTGAAGTAAGGTTTCAACAATATCTACGTCTCCTCCTCGAATTGCATCGGATAAAGGCGAATTTCGACCAGGAGCATCAGGAGGGACATTAGGATCCGCACCATGGGCCAGAAGTAGTTGTACCACAGCCTTCTGGGAGTGCCGAACAGCGTATCCTAACGCGGTGGACCTGCGGAAGAACAAATTCGGCTGTGCGCCCGCTCCAAGAAGAAGGGATACCACATCTGTGTGCCCATTGGATGACGCCTCCATCAGTGGGGTTGACCCGGAACGATCTAAAAGATCCGGTTCAGCGCCCTGATTGAGCAACATCTCCACAACCTCTCGATGTCCTTTTTCGGCAGAACGGCGCAGTGGACTCTGTCCTGGTCTCTTTCGATTGTTGATTTCAGGTCCTGTGTAAATCCAGAGTTGGTCCACAGTCCGAAGACCATTTGCCGCTGCCCTTGATAACGGAGTAAGGCCTGGGTCATTGACATCCGCGGCAGCGTCCAGCGGCAGTCTGACTACACCTTCATGAGTCGTTGCAGCAGCACATGGCGGCGCGCTGGGCCCATATTTATCTCCAAAGTTGACATCTACTCCAACATCGATCAAGATCTTGACTAATGATTGATGTCCTCCTTCAGCTGCGACAGAGAGGACTGTGTCCCCCTCATCATCCTTGTAAAGAGGACTGGCACCATTCTCTATCAGAAGCCTGACCACACGTTCATGCCCATTCCGAACGGCTTTGAGCAAGGGTGTAGAGCCCAGAGAGTCGACCTCATCAACCAGATGGCCCAGCCTTAGCAGCGCTCCGGCCTCACGCTCGAGACCAAACTCGGCTGCCACGTGAAGGCCCATTCTTTGTTCCGACATATCATCAATGAATTCATAATGGTAAGTAGTCCAGGCTTGCCAACAGGCGGCCAACTTCTGATTGCTATTCAACAAGTTAAGGGTAAGTGGGAGTTTGGGGGGTTGCTTCCCGGCATGACGTCCCCAATTCGTTGCTGCGTACTGATATAGAGGATATTTCCGAAGCCTTTCGTCATAATGGTATTCAGACTTGCATATTCCATCTTCAAAGTCATCATAGGCAAGATAGGTGACGCACGCTTCACCGATCTCACGGTGAGCATTGGGAAACCAGAAGGCCCATGTCTTATGGAGATATTCTTGTGTTGTATAATGAACCAACCTGATGATATGGTTCTCCTCATTGTATGTGACCAGCCCCGCACATGAGGAAATCATATCTTCGACATCTGGTAAATTTTCCTCATCAAATGAGCTCTCGCTAATCACGACAGCGAGAGCATGCTGAAGTTCTGTGAGGGTGAGGGCACGCTCAGCACAGGTAAGCCAAGCCAGTAATCGCTTTGCGAGTTGTGCTCGATCTGCTATTTGCTGTTCAACCTGCTCCATTGCTTTCTCATATGCATGATCATATGCGTCAGATCCAGTCTTGAAGTTGCTGAGAGCATTCTTTATATCTCTGGTAGTGCACTTTCCCTTCAGAGAATCCAGATAGAGTCTCGCGAGTAGAAACCTAGAGCAGATCAGTTACTTTCTCCACCGAAACTATCTAATATGGGGTTGACATACATCCCATCGACCTTTCTGACAATTTCTGAGACGATAAGCTTCTGGACTTGTGGCCTTCGCCTCACACTGGAAGGTAAGTTGCCTTCGGCATATCGTCTGATATCTGCATCACTGGCTTGAATTTCCAGTGACGGGAATCTCTCAAACTTCACGGTAATCTCTGGAATAAATCTGGCAGTTGCCATGAAGCTAATGTTGAAGTCTCGTTGAAGGTCAAGGATATGTGAAATTAGATGGTCCCGCATGCGATCCGAGTTTGAGCATTCATCCAATGCGTCAATGACCACGTACACATGGGAATACAGCCCAGAAACTGTACCCAGCATCTTGACAATATCATTGAGGCGTGGCCGCATCTGAGTGCGTTGATAATTTTTGTAAAAGTCTCGAATCTCCTCAGAGATGTGGTACAACCCTCGGATTAACTGCCCCAGAATATTTGCCAGAACACTGTCTAATTTCTGGCTCTGCTGCTGGTGAAAATTACAGAAGACATAGGCAAGACCAATGGCTTCGTTCGATCCGTGTTTCTCTCGAAGGTAGTCAACCACAATAGCCGTAAGTATCGTCTTTCCTGCGCCAGGGATGCCAGGACAAAAGAGAACCCCTTTCTGCTTTTCCCACTGACGGAACTCATTCGTTTCGAATAGCCACTGTCCAGTTCCGTCTTGTCGTTGACGTAGATATCCACTTTGCTCTGATGCATAATCAGTTGAGCAAAGCCAGCTGGCCATCTGTTGCCGTTCTTGGTCATGACTGCGTTGAACCAACATCCTGAACCCAGGATCTTTACTTGGAACGATGGTTTGCCTTGATGAGATCTTTTTTAGCATTTAAAGCATTCAGACTAGGGGCCCTAAACTGACTGTTTCACTATATCAATCGGCATGTGGAAGAAGAGCTGCCTAGCATATGCTGCAGCTGCCGCCGCTGCAAAACCAAGCCACTGGTCGTTCTTATGCGAATCGCAGTAGTCTGAGATACCGCGAATGACAAGGCAAGGGAAATCCGCCATCGCTCCGGCAGCCTCCATTTCGAAACACAGGACCCCTTATTCCTTGGCGAGCTGGTCCCTCAGGGCACTATCCCTTAGCACAAGCTCTCCAGATGCCACGGTACCCCGGTGTACCACAATAAGTTGATCGAGATCGCCCACCTTGCGTTTTATACACTGTGCTGTGTCACATTCACTCTCTTCGCAAGATAGTCCAGGGCAGAGATGCTTGTAATCAGCCGGAAATAGCTTGTCATTTTCAACACCAGGGAACTTGAACCGTCGTAGCTGGGGCTTGCTTGTATCTATGCGGTGAGCGTTCTCCATTATGTAGTCTTTATCTGATCGAGCACGCTGAGCGGCAAGTGCTTGCGCAGCAAGGAGGAGAACTGGAGGAGGTGGAGCTAATGGCCCGGTCCGCTCGAACACACCATCTCTCGCCTTCCCATGATCATACTGTATCGCTCCCGAAAATGGTCCGACAGGCTGGCTAACGACCACATGCCCAAGGCGGAGCATACCATTGTCCGTTATCGTTGGCACACCGCCCCCTATACCAACCAACAGAGCAAAGCGAAGGTTCGGGAATCTGATTCGCATCTGGGTCACCACTGCTGTAGCTGGGTTGTTCCCAGCTTGCCACAACCCAGCAATGACGACTTTGTGGCCTGCGACACTACCAAGATGGTAGAGATTGTGGTCTGTAGGAGGTTGTGGTAGCGGCTCGTGTTCCTCATCCAGCATTTCCAGCGCAGCAATGAGCTCTATCTCCAAAGGGCAAACCCACCCAACTGTGTAATCCTCATGGGTGAACTTTTCCTTCACGGGTTGTTTGCCCTTGCGCCTTTTTACCTCTCTATCGTCCGTATCATCGGCGCGTTTGACCATTGTAAATTATCCGAAATATGGTGCTGGTGGGAAATCGAGTAAAAAATGCAGTAACAAGTATGAGATCCTCTAGCGTTTTTTTTCTTCATATGATCAATATACTTACCACAAAAGCACACGAAAAGAAAGAAGGCACACTAGAAGGATCTTAAACAACCAAGTGCCTCGCGAGGCTGAACTGAGGGGCAGCAGTACTTGTATGGCGGATTGCGCGCAAGGCTGACACACTAATGCAAAAGAAGTGCAGGACAAGGCTACCCAACCACAGAACAGAGCTGGTTACACAGGGCTTGTGATGGCCCTGCGCTCAGCACATAGCACGATACTATGGGGGTTACGTAGTTAGCCGTATTAGGAAGATCAAGGCAGGGCTCAGGGCGAGGGCTGAGCGAGCTTAAAAGCCGTGCTTGGTATATATAGTATGGCAGTCATAAACTCCAATACTCGAAGGCCGAGGCAGACGAGATCATGATCTTTCTTTCAGCGCATGAACTCGACATTTAAGGAACTATACGTCTTGGGGTCAGGTTTTGCAACACGGAGCGCCTAATGAAGGTGCTCACCAAAGTTCTGTTGAGATGTATAGAATGTGACCATATTGTTTGCTCGAATTGCAAAGGTATGAGGTAGAGAATATCACTAAACCTGATTCTACTTCATATTCTCTTCATAAGTAATCACAATGCGAGCTGTTCATTTGAAATTACCGCGTGTAACACAAGCAACCATGCTGTATGATAAAGGTGAGGTCACTGAAGTAGAATAGCTGATGGTTTATAGGCGATAACATGATAAGATGTACCCAGAATATTCGTCAGTCCAGACACTGGACTCGAGTGCCTAGTGGGCTGATAGAGCTTTAGCATAGAGCCAGACACGAAGCTTTCCTGGACTGGGGTGCACGTTGAATTGTGGCCAGCCTCAATGCGTCTGATATCCTCGAGTCCACCAGAAGGAGACAGAAACAGCAGTTACGCCAATGCGAACATCTGGCCGTGCCAACCGTAAGCTCTATTCAACCTCCTTCCAATCCGTCTTGCGACCCGAAAGGGGATCTTCGCAATGGGATGCGGCTCATGAAACTGAATGCTGCGCTCGACGTCCAGATTTCTCGGCGTGAACTGCCAGACGGAGCCGTATAGCTTCTCCACCGTAAAAGCCGTGGTGCCCATAGCGTGGAGAAAATCGTTCCACGGGATCTCTCCCGGCTGAGCGGTTTGCGAAGGCTGGAAAAAAAGGGTGGAGAAAACCTTCAAGGACCGCTTGTCCACTTTGAAGGTGGGCTGAAAGTCATACTGATTTTCGGCGGGCAGCTGTGGTTCCACGGTTTTGTCGGATATACTCGGCTTTCTTTGAGATTTGACCTTCTTCTTGGGTAGAGGCGCAGTAGCCGGCTCGATGGTCTTCTCAGTTCGACGTACCAGCTCAAATTGGAGATCTGCAAGACTCTTCTCCAAGTTTTCCACTTTGGTGGGTTGCCTCTCTGGCTCTACCCAAGCACGCGTCCTCTGGAGGTTTCCAGAAATTCTAGTAAGCACCTTGTACACAGCGTTGCGTCGGGTCATTCCACGGGTCACTGGCATATGTTAATCCACCGCACGCCAGAACGCATCCAGATTCCTCTCCGCGGATCTCATAAGTTCGACATTTTCACGATTTCGTCTCCTTTCAGCTGGGTAATGGAATCGACCATCTTCCGGCGATCCAAGTTTGGCTAAAGAGGTTCCCTCGAAGCTTACCAGGTACTTGTCCCAACCGCTGGTTAGGTTGCTGTATTCTTTCTGAATTTCATTTTGCTGTTCAACAAACCCATTTTCGAATGTATTTGCCCACGGTTGGTAGAGCTCAATTTGATAAAGACATTCGTAGATAACTGCTAAGTCTGAAATGATGCTGGCAACTTGACTCGAGACGAGCTCCTTCTTTTTGGGGTCCATTTGCACGAGACGTTCAAGCTCATCCATGAGCGTCTTTCGGCCGGCCAATGAAACCTGGTGGCTACCCCCCCAGAGCGTGTCAAGAATCCAAAGCAGCTCTCCCTGGTTGTTAGATTGATACATCCGACCGGGTTTTTGCAATCATCTTCGAGGTGCCCAGCTCCTGTGGTTGCCGAACGAATAGTGATCGCAATGGAGGGGAGGCTGGAGCTGCTACTTTGAGCAGGGAGACTGGACCAATACTAAACTGTTCTAGGAAATATTGCAGGTCTACAAATGCCTCATAGAGGTCCGTAGGCAGATCTCTCTCGGGCGATATCCTGTCATGATATTTGGAAAGTAGCTGACGCAGGTCGGCCACCAAAGAATGGAGCGTGGACCAGACCTCCAGGTTCATATAAGCTTCAGACACAAGATCTCGGAGCACTCGGTTCCAGAATAATGGGTGAATATATGGTGTCAATGTCGGATGCGGATTGCCATTGGTATCTGGGATAACTTCGACGCGATGTTCCTTGTACTCATTGACAACATCTGCGAAGTATCCGGGGTCCTCTCGTAACGCTAGGAGATGGTCCTCCGCAGCCGAGCGTTTAGCATCGATAATGTCTTCAAGAGAGGCTAAGTCGAGCTGCGCGGGTAGACGATAAGGCGCGTCTGCTGCAACTGCAGCCAGGGAATGCCAGTCCCCTTCATCTTTAATCGCGGGCTCAGGCTGTACAGGGAAGTCCTTGATCAAGGCTGCCTCAGGAATATCGTGAAGTATTTGACGGGCACAGTCTAAAAGGAATTCGTAGATCCGCTGCTGTATTTCCAGAAGTAATAGCCCATGGCCGGGATGCAAACCTTTACAATGATGAAGCCATAGAAATGCGTCATCATTATCGTCCAATGCAATCAGCTCTCCGTATGTTTCTGGTGTTGTCCGACCAGTGAACATCATCGTATGCAGGTTGAGAAAAGCAGTGCGGATAGCACCTGTGCCATGCCCAAGATGTGGAGCGTTGAAGTCCGTGTGTGCAAAACAATATGGCTGATGCCGAGAGCGAGCATTGAGGAGCAGGAGGAACGGTCTTGTCTGTTCCAGGTCTTCGAGATTGATATAAGGCCACAGGTATGCTTCTCTCGACTCTTCGCGGCGTCCCTTTTTGAACGCGTCAAAATCTGGCCTGTGCATCTTTGACATGTTTGGCCAAGCAGAGAGAAGGATCTGATGACGCTTAGTCTTGGTCTTCTGGCGCCATCGTTTTTGAATCCGTTCTTCATGACGTTCAATAATCTTATTCAATGTTTCCCAGTCGGATAAGATTTTAGACGCTCTTTGACGGCTTTCTTGGCGGACCTCATCCGCAGTTGGGTAAGATGTTGGTTTAGGAAGATTAGGATTGAGTGTATCGAAGAACGATGCTGGATTGCTCCAATCTATGTCACCAGTGGCATTGTTGTCGTAATTGGCAGCGTCTTCACTGAAGAAATCGAATCTGTACGCAGCATTAGACCCAGCCATAGCGACAATTCTCGCAAGGAAGTTGAGCAGATTGCGATGCCAAAGGGGGATGAAGGGGCAATGTTGAGGGAGACACCGCGACGTGTAAAGGTATCCCCAGTCACGCTGCACACGTAATCCACATCCAAATATTTACCTCTTTCCCTGAATAGAACAGAAATAACATTAGAATTTAGGTCTGCTTGATGGTTGAATCTTGAGGCGCGATGGCATCTGAATGTCCCCTGTCTGACTGGAATACAAAGTCGTCAAGACGCACACTGAGGCTTCACTTCTGTAGATAGCGAGGAAACGTTCTCCAACCAATCAGCTCGCATAGCTCAGTTGGTAGAGCGCATGACTAGTAATCATGAGGTCAGCGGTTCAAATCCGCTTGTGAGCAGTTCTTTTTTTTCTTCTTTAGCTCTTGTTCTTCCGAAGTGTGAGCAATTTTTTGCTTCAACAAGGAAGATGACCATGATTGTAAGATCATCACGATACCTCCTGCTCGCAGGTATGAGAGAGTGAGGATGGCTTGCACCACCTGACCATCATATAAACTACACAGTACCCCCTTTTTTATAAGTCCCCCACAGTTGACTGAGTTGACCGGGTTGCTATGGCCTTCGAGTGTCTGTAGGCATGCACTCCAGTACTGATCCATAGCTGGTTTCCTAATCATATAATTTGGCTCCTGCGTTTTGGATTAATTCCTTGTTAAGCTCTTGCTTAGACTGAATATCAGTCCTGAAGTATAAACCTAAAGTGGCTGATTCTGAATTACTCTATCAGCCCACTAGGCACTCGAGTCCATTGTCTGGATTGACGAATATTCTGGATATATCCTATCATGCTCGCCTTATAAACCCATCAGCTGTTCTACTTTAGTGATCGCACCTTTATCATACAGCATAGTCATTCATGTTACGCGCGGCAGTTTCAAATGAACGGCTCGCACTGTGATTATCTAGGAAGAGAATCTGAAGTAGAACCAGGTTTAGCGATACTCCACCCCATAGAGACTGAATATGTTTGCAACACGGGCAAGCAATATGTTCGCACATTGCATCTCAGCTTCAATGGCTCCCTCAGCAACATTCCCACCTTGACAGCATTGTCAGAGAAAGAGGCTGCCCAGAAACGAACGTCGGGGTTGTGTATCCTTGGCTTCGTGCGCTATAGGAGTGACTGATCTGATTGTAGGACAGGTACCTCGCTCATGCAAGAATCGTCATTTTACAGCGGCTGCACCTGCTTCCAATAGGTTCTTCACGATAGCTAGTTGTTCTCATGTGGCAGCAATAATGGCGGTGGCACCCTTTCGCCTACCTCGGTCTTCAAGCATTGGCGTTCATGACTGTCATACATATATACTAAGCACGGCTTTTCGCAAGTTGAAGCCACCTTCTGTTACTACCATTCTACAGCTCATGGGCTGAGATGATACTTACGAGTCATACTACGGAGGGATCACTTCCTCCTATTCGGAGTCCCCGATTATCAATGAGCACATCAGATCAAAACCAGAAGCAGATCAATTCAATAACGCAAACTCATTGTCGGACACACGCAAAGGCCCTTCCCCGACAGCCTTCTACACCTCTCCTTCCTGTAGACAATAAGCACTCACTCAGCAGCAATCCTCACCCAACGCATTCAGACACAATCCAAAATCAAAACCAAAACCAGAACTCAGGTTAAAACTCACTGCGCAAGCCCATGCCCCCCCACCAGCGCCCACCCCGCCATCCTGCGATCCCTATCCCAATACCTCATCTGATGGAGAATAACCCCCTCGGCACTCGTCCAGATGACCCCGTCCGTCGCCGCCGCCGCCGTGAACGACAGCATCAGATCCCCCGTTTTGGCGCCGCCGTAGCGCTGGATCGCGTCGATGGAGGAGTAGACTCTTGCGTCGCGCGCGCGGACCTTCTCGAGGCAGTGCTGGAGGAGGGTGTACGATGGCCAAGGCTGGTCGGGGACGCTGGAGAAGACCATGCAGTAGTTGAAGGTGGTGTAGAGGGGGTGTTCGATGGGGGCGGGGACTTGGGTGGGATTG